CTCCGGCTATGGCTAGAGTATCTTGAACTTTTTGCAGAGCGTTTTGTTCACATTCGAATGCGATTTTCGATTGTTTCATTGCACTTTCCAAAGCGTTATTGTGTTTTGTAAGCTCCTTAAGTTGATCCCCTAATTCTAAATAAGACCATTGACAAATGGTTTCCCACGAGTTCTCAAGAGTTAAGTTTTATAAATACCTTCTATCCATTTTTCCAATTTTTCTACCTGATCACGTAAGGTTTCTTCTTGACTCAAAAGAATTTTAATTTTAGCCTCCTGATTGGCGATAGTACATCCCAATGTAGCGGTACATTTATGATCAACCTGATGAAAAGGTTTAGTTGTCAATTACTGGAATTGAATGCAAACCAAAATCTACTCACAACTCCACAAACTGATGTTGGGTTTTCGCGGAGGGACTCATCACGCGAACCATTGTCCCCCGGGCTAGGGCACCTAGAGCTTTTTAATGCCATTTGCTTTACTTGGATCCAAAGATTCTCATTCATTTCTTGCGTGGCCAAAGGAATTTTAAAATTATTGAAAAATTTTTCTTTTGACAAAATACCCGAGAAATTCTTAAGTCAGTTTCCGTAACCAATTACTTACTCACAGCCTATTTTGATTGTTTTATAAATGCGAGTTTTGACAGTAAAATCAAGATGTAATTGAATAGAAAAATTTGTAAAATCACGATACCCAAGATCAAGATATCCTTTGCAAAATGCCCGCACTTTCTTAGAGATAAGAAAATAAACATTCAATAACAAATTTTTTTTTTAAAACGAGTAAGAACGTGATAGTCGGGTGAGGCCGACCAGTAAATACACTACTACATCTCGTTTTTGGTAATATGACATCAAAAATGACACGTTATATTCATGCAGACACATGCGGATAGGTGTAAGACCCTGAAAGATTTCAGATATACCTACATTTGGTTATACGAATCGATTCAGAGATATTTTTTGAATTTATCCAAACTTATCTCTCCGTCTGTCCACTTGATTTTTGTCCATATAATCGGACCACTCCTTCGACCACTTTCTATGTAACGCCTCACTTTGATAAGCAAAATAAGCAAAAACATCATCGCTTTTGGTTAGAATCTAAAAAATAGGCCGAGCTTGTCCAAATTAAGGACAGTTAGTTTTTTATGATTAGTTACTATTATGATACAATTTTCATCATGAAGCATTGAAAATTTTTATCGTATGAACATCGGTTTTCGTTACATGAGAAGAGGTTTAAGAGAGCCTGGACTCAAGGATGAACGCTATTAACAATAGGTCGAAGCAGTCCCATATCCCTTTTACTCTTCACATAACGCATTATTTTGAAAATGTGTTATGTGGAAAAAAATTGTAATTTTCAAAATTTCACAGTAAAAGCGTCTAAGTGATAGTATTTCGGCATTCAAAATTGGTTTGACAACTTTGGACCGCCTGGGGAAATTTTTTGAACCCCTCTCATATAACCCTTCCTACCGCGATTGGAGCTTCATATGGTAAAAATGTCGAATTTCCAAAATTCCATGGTGAAAACTAACTCATAATAGTAAGCTGAGAAAAAAAATCATCGAATTTCGACCACGTAGGTTTATTTTTTTTGGATATATAAGGATTCTCATGAAACGTTAACCCTTTTATAAACCAAAAAAGCTTAATTATTAATTTATTGTGATGAAATTTTGCTCATGATAGTAACTAAAGAAAAAAATTAAGTGGACCTAGTAGTAGGGAATCTGGATCACATTGGTCTATTTTTTTTGACCCCAAGATATATAGGTACTATCATAAAAAGCAAACTCTTGTATGGAGAGAAAATTTAACCTTCCAATATGCGGGCTTTCATGCAAGTTATGGTTTTGTATGTAATGGTCGGCCAATAGCACAAAGACAATAGATAACTTATACTGAGAAAAAGCAAAGAAGAATCTTTAACGCTTGGAAGACTCTTTGAACAGTTTTTCTCATTTAACAGAAGTGTAATCTCGATTTCTCACACTTGCCACAGCTTGGCGTCTAATACTTTATTCACTTTATTCTCACTCACATAACAGAAAGCAACTCTATTCTCTCTCCCTTCTCCACACATTCTACTTTTTCTTATAATCCCAGCAAATGTAAAAATGTTGAAAATTATTGAAGCTACGAACAATAAAAATGAGTTCCTTCGAATATAACCAAAACGATGCTGCTACATCTCGTCTAAACGAGTTAAAGTATGAATTACTTCACCAATCCACCTATTTATCAGATTTAGATCGGCACTGCACGACTATGTTCTTCCTTTTTTTTTATCTTGTGTTAGTAAGTATTGAACGTTTCAGGAGCATAGTTATTAAAACGTAAGGTGTATTCAACAATTTGCGTTCCTAATGCTACTCAAAAAGTTGTCAATGGTAACAAATTCTGTAGACAAGGCTACTAAGGTTATAGAAATTCCGAAATATATTTGCAACATTGTAAAGATGGGAGTTAAATAAATAATAATAAGTTTTTGTTTTCATAATTTGTATTTCATATGCGCATCGCTTTCTTGTCTTTACCAGCTGCTTCATCCATTCCTTTTCGTGTTGTCGATGTCATATTATCACACTCTTATTTAGGGACTTTTTCAGATTTCAAATCGTAGTCTTCATCAACTAGAGATACTGCGGCTATAGCTAGAGTGTCTTGAACTTTTTGCAAAGTGTTTTGTTCACTTTCGAAAGCGTTCTTGTGGTTTGTAAGCTCCTTAAATTCGTCTCCCAATTCTAAATAAGACCAATGACGAACAGTTTCAAACGAATTCTCAGGAGTTTTATAAATACCTTCTATCCATTTTTCCAATTTTTCTACCTGATCACGTAAGGTTTCTTCTTGACTCAAAAGAATTTTAATTTCATTCTCTTGATTGGCGATGGTACATTCCAATGTAGCGGTACATTTATCATTAACCTGATGAAAAGGTTTAGCAGTCAATTACTCGAATTGAATCTGGCTACTGGAAAATCTACTCACGATTTCATTTTTTGGTTTTTCAACACGGGAACCATTGTCCCCCGGGCCAGCATGCCAAGAGCGTTTTGGTGCCATTTGTTTTACTTGAATCTGAAAATTTTTATTCACTCTATGTGAGGTCAAAGCAGTTTTAAGATTATAAAGCAATTAAATTGAAAAATGTTTTTTTTGCCTTGAGTTTCCGTAACTAATTGCTTACTCACAGCCTATTTCGATTGTTTTATAAATGCGACTTTTGCGAGTAATATGAAGATTTATTTTTTTAATTGACGAGAAAAATTTTGTAAAATCGCGATACCCAAGATCTAGATTTCCTTTGTAAAACGCCACCATTTTCTTCGAGATAATAGAAGAAATATTCAATAAGAAATTTTTTTTTTAAAACCAATAAGAATGTGATAGTCGGGTGAGGCTGACCAGTAAATACACTACTTCGCCTCGTTTTGGTAATAAAACACCAAAAATTACACTTTATATTCATGCAGACACATGCGGATAGTTATAAGACCCAGAAGCACTTCAGATATATCTACTTTCGGTTATACCAATCGATTCAGAGGTATGTTCCGAATTTATCCAAACCTATCGACCCATCTGTCCACTTGATTTCATAGTATAATTATTATTTACGCAAAAAACATTTATGATCTAAACCCGAGAGAAATATAAATAAATGACATTTAAATCTTTGCTAAATTATCTACAAGCGCAGTCAAGAGGACACAGAAGAACAAATAGATTTCATTGTGCATTGTATGTTGGCATAGTGCAGCTTAACTTCTGAAGTTTAATGTTTCATATAAAGACAATGAAGTCAGCGGTTTTACTATAAGATAAGTTATGGCATTAATACGGGAGACTATGGTTTAAGCATAAGACAACATGTTACCAATCAAACTCTGAATTCACCTTAAGAGCTATTACACTAAATAAGGAGTTTTAGAAACGCACGACCGGATATAGAATTTCTTTTTACTTAAAAATGGATTTGCCAAAGGGTCGATTGGTAGCATTTTTGTGTCCAACTTGGAAATGGGTTTACTAAACAGTTGCTACAAAGATGGACGCAAATTGTGATAACTTAATGAAGGTATGCAAAAAAAAAAGATTTTTTCGAAAATTGCGCTGCGATGAGGGTAAGTTTTAAAAAAGATGGGTTTTTCTGCGAATAAATTGTAACTAAGTATCTACTTATCTATCTAAGTATCTAACTACCCCTTACCTTAGGGTAGCACCCGTCTTTATACCCATCATCGAAGGTAAAAAGTAAAGTAAAAGTAAAGTAAGTAAAGTAAAGTAAAGTAAAGTTAAATTTGGTAGACCCATTAAAGGTAGTTGCACGCAGGCTAGTATTGGAAATGGGCAAAATTGGGCGAAGGACAAGCTTATAGTACTACGTAGACTGAGAACAATTCTGATTTTTAAGCTGCTCTGAGAGAAATTATAAAAATTTTGAACGTGTATTTTGTGGATGATGCTATAGTACCTTTAAAAGAATGAGAAAAATTAACCGCGCCTACTTAACATTATGGTACGATAAGATTTAATTTCTTCTTCAGTATTTTTATAAC